CCCCAAAACCCCAAAACCCCAAAACCCCAAAACCCCAAAAGGATATAAAAAGGTTGATTACATTGTTAAATTACAAATGAATACGAAACATTATGAAAGCAAGCAATACTGTAAGAAAGGAACCAAAGATAAGCTTAAAATTGATTTCTACAATTGGGGAGATAATGAATTGAAAACAAACACTTTATATGAGCTATTAGATTATAAAGATAAGAGCTGTGTCTATAGTAATCTTGTTGTAAAACCTATTTCTCAAGTATTCATCAGGGTAGGCAATGATATAAAGCAGTTTAACACAATATTTGAAGCTGAGAAATTCAAAAAATCTTTTAAGCAATCAAATGAAGGAGAGAAAGTTAAATGTAGTTTTCTTTTTTGAGTGCTTATGCATAAAAACGGATTATGTTTTTACAGTTTCAATCAGCTACTCCTAATCCTAAACTACTCGAACCCCTCTCAAGGTCTTAAAGCAATAAACTCTCAACTACATGACCTATTTGGAGGATGTAATGATATCAGAGAGGCAGAGGATATCCTAGAGTCTTTAGAAGCCGAAAGTTCATCGAGGGATCTTTGGAGAGTTACAAAGAGTATCAACTGGGGAAAGAAACTCAAAAATATTCATACTAAATCAAAAGGACTTGTGATTAAAGAAAGAGATATCATAAAAATAGGAAGGCTTAAAATGAAACTACTAAAAATTTGAAACGATGAAGACATTGCCTTCTTAAAGGAACAGAATAAAACTAATTATTGAGACCAAAGGAGTCTCAAACAAGAAAATATTAATAATAAAGACTCTTTCGGTAAAGATAAGGATGATGAAGAAGCAGAAAAAGATGATTCCTGAAGGTTTTGATTAAGCAATGATTTTAGCGCACTAAATCCTTTGATAAGCCCTTGAAACTGTAAAGGGACTCAAGGGCTTCTACATCTAGATTGTCTCCGCTCATGGATGGACTCTCAAAAGAATCACAAAATCTTGAACGAATATACTCACATTTATACTTGGAAGACCACCTATTGTGAGTTATGAAATACTCCTTACCCAACAGAAGTTGAAAATAATGAAATTTATGAAAATCTGCTAAGCTACAATGAGCCTGAAGAACCCTATTTCGTCTTTGAAACCTTTTGGCCTGAAAAGTGTGACAGACATACTTCCAAATCGATTTATATTTTTAAAAATAAAAATTTGACCAGCTGGAAAGTAGGAAGAGGATGCGATGCAGAGTTCATGCTTGAAGATCCCTCAATTTCTAGATTCCATTGAGAATTCAAGATAAGGCTTTAAGGAGTTAATCGTTAAGGATTTTGAAACAAGATATGGCACCCAAACATTGATGAGAAGCGGACAAGCTTTCGATGAAAAAGACTCCACCAATAACGTATTTCAGATTGGAAGAACATGGTTTCATGTTTCTCTAAATCAAAATAAATCAAATAGTAATCTATTCTGATGCTTGTTTACAAAACAAAAGACTCAAAATGAAGAGGATGATGATTCAAAACAATTTGAGCAAAGCAATGATATAATAAAAGAAGATTTTGCTCAGAAACTTGAAAATGACATAGAAATTTCTCAAATTCATACTCAGAGACTCTTAAAGTGAGGAAAGGATGCCTCACCCCTAACGAATATGGATAAAGATAATACAAGATATGGAACTAATCAATCTCCAGTCACTTATCCTCACCACACTTTTGAAAATTTGCTAACTACAGATAGGAGAAATAATTTCGATGATGCACTTGACGAAGAGGAGGATGAAAGAATTCAAGAGCTATTCAGTGAATCCCGCCAAGTAGATGAAAAATTGAACTCGATTGATTCTGTCCCTCTTCAAATCAGTTTACCTGATATAAATGTTAAAATGATAGAAGAAGGAGACAGATTACAAGTTAAGAAGATGGAGTTGTTGTCTTAAGCTTAAATATTTATCCAACCCATTTACGTAATTCTATTAAATTCAGTTATGATAGCAAGGATAGGGGTTTTGGGGTTTTGGGGTTTTGGGG